AAAAAAAAAAAAAGAATATGTTATGGCATGTAAGAACTAATGAATAAATGCTAATTTCATTATTAAGCCATTAAAGCCAGGAAAAATGCAAACAGCTTAATTCTGTTTTATATTATGATTCTAAGATAAATATGTCAAAGTAATTTAATCATAGAGTAGCAGATTCTAAGTGAGAATCTGACAAAATCATATTAGAAAATATAACATAAAAAAATAGTTTTCTTATGACTTTCTAAAACCTACAGTATATTTCAAATGATTAAAATAACAGATTTTCCTGGAAAGTAATTAAAGATGAATTTCAATTCATTCGACTCTATGAAGAAATAGCTAGGTAAAACATAAAAATTAAGGGCATCTGGCACAATAGTAATTTGCTCATTCAAAATAGTTTTGTCTTGAACTGTTCAACAGATGTTTTCCTAAAAAGTTGTGCTTATATGTTAGTTAAAGCAAACCAGGAAAGAAAAATGAATTGAGTTCTACAGGAAAAAATTAAAACGAACAAAAATTTGTATATCATTCTGTAATGCTAAACCTCTTTTTGAAATACATGTAAACAATTAATATATCATTTTTCATTTATACATACACATTTTATATATTGTATCTTTATAGGTAGAGGGACATATGTAAAAATAAGTGTTGATACCATTATCTAAAATATCTAAAGAAAAATAGGTTAGTATTTTAATTTTGGATATGAAATCTAGACATACATATTAAAAGATAATTCTCATTTTTTAATTGTTAAAATTGAACACGGAAAGAAACATTTTAAAATCTGAATTCGCTTTCAGAAGATGAGTAATAAGACTATCAAAGAAATTGCTTATCTCATCTATCTGAATACTGATTAAATATATAATCTCACCATATTTGAAGGTTTCCCTCAAAATCTCCAGTAGCTAAGTATCTCTGCTGTAACGAGGTTGCACCAAATGTTCCACACTTAATGGGTTTGGCCTTTTCAATCTTGATAGACGGGAGGAAGAGAAGATACGTTATTTATACAAGCAGATATTTATAATCTAAAATATTTATGGCTCTATTGTGGGATTTAAATGACACATAATAGGATAAGCAACTAAAACATTTTCTGATAAAAAATGTTCATGGTTTTCCCCTAGTCATTTTTCTGTAGTTTAAAAGAATGTAACAGTCAAAAAAATTTTAATTTGTCTTTCCTCTCAGCTCACTAATGAGACATTCATAAGCTGATCACTCAACCATCTCCACTCATTTGCAAATATGAAAGGTGCAGCATTTAATGTGATATTCTTTAAGAGCCTCAATAGAGACAAGAACATAATGAAGGCATAATTCTTTCCAGATGGCTACAGGAACAAAAATTTTTACGTGTCTTTATAATAGTTTTCTTCCCTGTAGAACCTTATAAACTGAAGATGCTTATGTTCACTTGATCTGGAACCTTTTCAATACATAGAGATTTGTAAACCTGTGTGTACCAATGAACCACTGCTAGTATGAATTAGCCAATCTTTAGAGGTTTAGATAACTTAAAAGGCTCCTGCTCCTAGTATTGTATTATTGTATAAAACTACCACATACCAGTGCACTATTTAAGATATGGGGCTTACGGAAATCAGATGTAGAAGACCATATAGCTAAAAAGGTCCTCGGAAAAGAACTAATACAATACCCTCCTGTCGCTGAAAGAGAATGAAGTCTAGAGTCTTACAATTTGCCCAAATCTCCTCTGCAGGGCATGTCCCCTTGCAACCCTGCAGTTCCTCCGCCCATCCTCAGGCCTCCCAGGTTGGCCTATTTCAAATAATTTAAAAAATAATTTACCTGCCACTTTCAGTGTTTAGCTGGGCATTTCCACGTAGCATATATTATCTATACTAAGTATGCACAGCAATTTTCAAAGAAGAAAATAGAATTCGCTTATCATATACAAGTGAATACTACAAGTGAACTTTTTTTTTCTAATTTAAAAGATACATTGTATGGTATAGGGCTTTGGAAATTCCCAGACTTCGAACTCTCCTGCTCTTAGGGATCTGGATAAGTTAGCAGTTACTGTGTAACCAGGTCTAAAAAATAAAGCACACACAGTACAGCCTCCCTGGAACAGTCTTATATCCACAGTAACATAAAAAGACCACACTGACGGAGAAGCACAGAACTGCGGAATGTTACCTGAGATACCATCACTTACTCACCGCGTCAGAACATTTAATAGTCATTTATTTCAGTTGCTTTTCCAATTTTATGAAAAGGAGTATCTTAAGATGGGGTAACATGGAGAATCAAAATTTTGTCAATTTAACAGAGCAAACAGACCACTTACACTCTGATATTTCCCTGCTTTCCAAATAAAAGAACCTGAAATAATATATTTATAGCGGTAAAGCATTGTGTCACTAGTAGGACACAATTTATACAGTTAAATTAATTCAGAGGCCCAACCTATACTAACCTATGAAAACAGCCCCTGCCCCCTTTGTCGCACAGCAGGCCCAGCTCTCTGCCTTGGAGAATGGCTTCCATGTTCTGAGGCAGAGGGTGAAGCCAGGCCTGGGAGGGAAGCAGCAGGGAGTCTGGATGGACAGGCTGCGGTTCCAGGAGGCTTATGGGACTAGCAGGTGCAGGGGAGATTATACTATTTACTGACGCAATCCTCTGGGAAAATTCTTCTCAGAGAAGCCAGTACTGGGGAGACTGGTTGTCTATTTTCTTCTCTGCCACCAGCCAAAGCATTCTGAGGCCATAACTCCTCTGCTGTCACCTGGAACTTTCAGTAAGGGCTCCTCTTGCTGGGCCACGAGAGGTAAATCTAACCTCCACTTTTCGGTCTCTACAGTAAGCACACAGCTCTTCTAAGATTTCGCTGCTGGTAATAAAAATCTGGAAGCAAAACTTTCCTCCCTTTTGCCTTTAGACTCTTTAGAATAGAGAATCTCAATCTATGCCCCTGGAATATATTGACCTTCTGGTACTCAAATAAAATAATACAATTATTAGAAAATTCACCCCCAAACAAAAATCAATGGGTGTGTTTTTCTTAAATTTTTAAGATTTTTTTTTTGTTTTTTTTTTTTTTTTTTTGAGACAGAGCCTCAAGCTATCCCCCTGGGTAGAGTGCCATGGCATCACACTCACAGCAACCTCCAACTCCTGGGCTCAAGCGAGTCTCCTGCCTCAGCCTCCCAAGTAGCTGGGACTACAGGCGCCCGCCACAACGCCCGGCCATTTTTTGGTTGCCGCCATTATTGTTGTTTGGCGGGCCCGGGCTGGGGATTCGAACCCGCCACCTTAGGTGTATGTGGCTGGTGCCTTAGCCGCTTGAGCCACAGGCGCCGAGCCAATTTTTACATTTTCTTCAAATAATTTTCTTTGCTTGCCTATAACAAAATACTAGGAAATGAATGCCAATAAGAAAACCTGCAGATGATGATTTTAAAAAATTGTGGGGTTACTTTTTGTGATGAAAAGATCAGAATACATATAATCAGATTTGCCTGCTGAAAAACTCTTCCTTGTGCAAAGATGAAACTGACTACTCCAACATTGCACGATGCTCCCCCAAATAGCAGTATGAGGTACAGATTCTCTGACACCTGCACATACCTGAGAGTCGCTGCCCTTGAGGAAAAAAACCAAACTGAGAACTGGACAATTACACGACAGAGGCCCCATACTAGATATCTGCACATGTGTCATTGTGTGGATTTTAAAAATGTGCCTTTTTTACTTATATTAAACAAAGAAGTAAAACGTATCTACATTTAGAGGCACAGACTCACCGGAGCAGCACCAAGGCCTGTAGTCTACAAAGTGGACAAAACCCTTTGAAATCTGGCCTTGCCAGCCTCTGTTTCTACTTCCTGTTCCTCCTCCTCCTCTCTAACTGCAGCCACACCACTGAGCTTTCTTTTTGTTCTTTAAGCTCACAATGGCCTTTTCCATCTCAAGACAATGGCATTTGCAGTTCCCTCTTTCCACATCACCTGGCCTCTATCCTTCTCCCTATTTAGACTTCACTTCAAGTGCCACATCCCCAGAGGCCTTCCCCGCCCTTCCAATCTGAGCTGGAACTCCAAATTACTATCACTCACCCTGTTTAATCTTCTTCATTGTTTCCATATATTGAACACCTACATATCAGATACTATTCCAGATTTCCAGATGTTCTTCTAGACTAGACCATCTTTTGTCTTTCTATACAGGGGTGGCCAACCTTTTTGTCTCGGTGGTATATTGGAAGAATAAGAGGCGTCTTGGGCCACGCATTAAATACACAAACACTAAGGAAAGCTGATTAGCATAAGCAAAAAGTGTCCTCACAAAATAAGAATGCAGCCCACGGGCCACAGGATGGATGCCTGTTACAACACTGCAAACTAAGTATTTGGAACGCCACTTTTAAGACGAGGAAACAGGTTCCGTGGACTTAGTGACTAGTGCAGGTCCCACAAGACAAGTAGACTCCAAGCTTTTTCTACTAAACTAGGCTGCCTCCAGGCCTATGTAATGAACACTTTTATTATATAGCCCTCGTTCAGTAAACCTGAGAGTCATTAGAAGTACCAAAGAAATGTTCCAACTCTGAAATGAATTGGTGAGGGAAATGGTACAGGCATGAATTAAACCTATTTTCAGATTTCTGTCTTCTGGCTTTTTCATTTATCATATCTTTATAAGCTATGGATAGATGGTATCATGCTTCCTCCATGTCCTCTTTTCTCTTCTTGTATCAAATAAACAGAGATTCATACATGCTAGTGGTCTCTTGTGCAAAATTAAAATTAAAATCAAAATACAAACATTAAGAATAAACTTTATTTTTAATCCCTTATCATTTCTATTGAGTGAAGACTGTATTTTGCTCAGAAGGACTGAGCTTTGCTGGCAGATTGGCTTACAAAAGGGTGTGTTTTATCTTTCCTCTGACATTCATGGAAATAATCACTAAATTAAGAGAGGACACTACTAAAGCTAAATTTTTATAGTTCACAAAAAGGGTTCCCTCTCCATCCATTAAGCATTTCAATTATGGAAAAGAAAAGATGAAAATAATTCAGTGGTAATTTAAAAATTTTCTTGCTAGAAAACTGGGTTAAATAAATGAAGAAATTGTTCCACAAAGAAAAATGGTATATATTAACAATTTTTATGTTATATGATGCTCAAAATGACCATCACTGATGGTCATACTTGACATAGCTATTAGGCTTTCTTTACTACAACAGAAGTTAACACGATTAAGGAAGCCCATGATGGATAACTCCTGTTAGAGCTATTTTTGTTCTGCAAGCGGGTGGGTCTAGTACAGCTTGTCAGTATCTCCTCCTCCGCATCCTGGCACTACTTAATTAACATTAAGAGATTTAGTCAACCAAATGCTAACAAGCAGTGAATTCAGTAGCACAAGGGCTAAGAAAGCAGCAATTTTATTAGCTTATTACTAGCTTTTATACAATAAATACTGATGTTTGTGATTCCATTTTTCAGGGCCATCCCTAGTCCCTAGCATATCTTTTTGCCAATTAGAAAAAAGTTGACCTTTACAAGCTGAAGTCTCACACATGCAAGGCTTGATGAAGGAGAGATTTCAGCTTCCACTTGAACACTTGGCCCGACACCTTTGTGTGGTACAAAAAACTGCTCAACTGTACACAGAGGCTCTGCCCACCATTCCCTCCTATCATTTTATTAACACAATAAGGGAACGACATTAACAGAATGCTTCCTTTACAGCTTCACCTGAGATGCATGGGCTTTGGAACACATGACTTGGGGTAGTTCTATAATGATAAATCAAGTTTGCTTCCTAGTATTTTCATGCATAATCTATCTGGCCTAAGAGTTCTCAACCTTGGTCTCATAAGGATCACCTCACAGAAGTTTAAAAAAATACTGATGTCCAGGCTCTTTAGTAAGAGAATGGGCTCATCTTTCAGATATGTCTGATCCTTTTTTAACACAGTACCTTTAAATAGTATGTTCTTAGTAGATAATTTATGGAAGAGAAAAAGAACCAAAGGAGCCAGGTAAAAATACAAAAAGTGATTGGTTATTCCTGGGATTGACACTATGGGTGGTACTTTCTTTTTTCCCCCCCCATCTATATTTTCTAAATGTTCTACTATAAACATATATTACTTCTGCTAAAATGCAAAACGGTTATTTGTTTTCTTGTTTCTTTTATAACTATTTTTCAAAATTACTTTTTAAAAAGTGCTAAAATTTTACACAATCTCTAGAAGAAAGACAAAGAGCACTATTACCTAGCGGAATAGTATATTTCCAAAATATATATGAATCACGCATTCCATCATAAATCATGAGTCTCTAGATGGTCTCTTCTTGGCCTTTGACTGACATTTGTTCCTAACCTCTACCTTTGTTCACAACCGAACCCCAAGTTAATAATTTTAAAATATTTAAATTTCCCATATTACACACTATTTACAGACATACATTCATTTATTCTTTAACAAGTAATTTATTGAGTGGCTGCTTCTTACAAACCACACTAAAGAAAGGTATTGTCCTTACTCTCCAGGAGTTTACAATCTTGTTAGAGATAAATGGGACAGAATGTATTTCTGGCACAGATAATAAGTAGTATAGTAATGTACTATAAAGAAAAGTTACTTTGTGTGAGAATCAGGAAGGATGTCATATAACAGATAATCTGAACTGAACGTTAGCATAGCAACAGGTGACTGGGAGCTAAGCGATGAACAACGAAGGAAAGGTAGAAAGAACAAGTCATGCTTGGAACACTCAGTAGGGTGGCTGGCTAGAGAAAACAAATTGAATAAAAAAATGAGCACACAGGGAAATTTTAAGTGGCACAGGACCTTACACACCATCTAGACTTACCTATCAAAATTGCATTCTTCTTTTACCTATTATTTCACCCTTATCTCCTCCCAGTGGATTCTCTCCATACCTTTTGATCCCTTGGAGTTCTCAATCTTTCCTACCTTGCAATTTATTACAATCCTAAACACCTGCTTATACCCATTTTTTTGAGTAAGTCAAATAAAGATATTTTTAAAACTATAAGCATCTGTAAAAATGCTAGCTATTATCCTTATTCTCTAATTCGTTCCCTAGTGATCTTTACAAAACTTGTAAATCTGCTCTGGCCACATCCTGCTTAAAGTCTTGTCAATGATGTCCCATTTTCTTAGATAAAAGGCACAAATCCTTTAAATGTCCTACAGATCTTCCTATGTCTGGTTCTTCCTTTCCCCTCTAGTTTCTTAAGGAGATAAATTTTCTCCCATCACTAAGCTTCTGAATATGGTGTTTCCTCTAGAAACCGCATACTTTACTCCTAGATTGGCCTAGTTAGCTTCTACTTACCCCAACTGTTTTTGCTTTCCTAGAGTTGTGTTCCTTTGTGTTAAGACAGCTCATTCCGGTTTGTATTTTTGCATCGTTGGTTTGATTATTGAACTGATTATCCCCTTCCCCGAAAAAAAAAAACCTACATGAAATCGAGAACACTGCCATTCCTATAACTGGGAATAACAGGCACTCAATTGATACTTGTCGAAAGAATTAACGTGTCACTACATTGCAAGTATCCGCTACCTGCTTTGGCTCTGCTTGCATGAAAAGGCATTTACTAACGTGAGCCCACTAACAAGGCAAACTACTGTGAAGTGCCCAAAAAGTTCTCAAATTGAGACACGAAATCTTAAGGTGACTTCCCAGAGACCTCGCACTGGACTGCACTGGGGATGGCAGGAGAAGGGGGCCGGCAGGGCGCGGATGAACTAGCCCGCGGGTGAGAATTCAGAACTCAAAAGAAAGGATTTAAATCAGAAACATTCCTCAATCTGCGGTCAGAGTCTCTGGTCCCGCGCAGGGCAAGCTTTGCTTTGGGGGCTGAGGGGGGATGATGGACGAAGGCTGTGGCAAAGGAATGCAGGCCCTAGGATCCACACTCGCCCCCAACGGCAGTCCAGATCCTGGAATTGTGTCGTCTCGACCCGACACCCACCTCTCGGAGCAGCTTCAGGTCCCCCTGCTGGATCTCGTAGAGCTGAATGACGCCGGTGCCCCGTGCGAAGTTGCCCATGGTTACAAACTTGGCGCTGCAGGGCACCCACTTACAGTCGAACACCGTGTAGCTGAGGCCCTTCTGGATATGGGCGATGATCTGAGGCTTCTCGAAGGCCGACATGGCCCAGCCGATTTCACCACCGGCAACCGCCCCTCCCGGACCTCCACAAAAACACCAACTTGGAAACCAGACTCCAACGTTTAAGGCAGTTTGTCCCTCCCGCTTTCCGTATTAGGTCTCCGGACGCCCTAACAAGTTTGATTTAGTTAACTCCGATAATGCCAGATGCGCTCCTGAGACCATGAAGGTGGTTCTTCACAGACTGCACCAATTTCTTTATCGTCCCTTTGTCCACGTCTTTATCACACACACACATTTTAATTACTAAGTGCTCTGGCTGAGAGTTCGCGGCGGGAGGGAGTCCATTGTGATCAGGCATATTTTAGGATAGCCCACCGCCCTCACCCAACTCCAGCCTCAGGTCCCCGGCGTGGGACTTCTCTGGGAAGGGGGCGGAGCCCTGCGGCTGGTTGGCGAAGCCTGGCTCCTGCGCGGCGCGCCTGCGCGGTGCTCAGCGCACGTGTTGGAACCGGAAGCACCCGCTGAGGCTGGAAAACTGTGGAGATGGAAGAAGGAATGGAGTCGCAGAATGCCGGGGCAGAGGAGGGCTTCACCCAGGTCACCCGCAAGGGTGGCCGGTTGGCGAAGAAACGGCGGGCTGATCAGCTGTCAGCAACAGGGGAGAGCGAGAACGCGAGCCGTATGGACACAGAGGAGGCCCGGCCGTCGAAGAGGCCTGTGTTCCCGCCCCTCTCCGGGGACGGGTTCGTGGTACTGGCGGGGACCCTGGGGCCAGGGGACCGTGGAGGGAAGGCTAGAGGCGTGTGGGTGAAGCTGGTGGCTGCTGGGTGATGTTGAAGCTGTGGGGGCTGTTCTGTGTTGCTCTTAGGGAAGCGATTTTTCTGAAGTTTAGTAAGTTAAGGGAAAGGAACCTTTCTGTGGATCAGTTGTCATGTTACAACTTCACCTCTCTATCTCCATAGGTCTCCTGAGTTGTGTGTTCTTTTATTGCAGAGTGGTAAAGGAGAAATAAGAAAAATTCCAGTCCCAGCTAACAGATACACACCATTAAAAGAAAACTGGATGAAAATATTTACTCCTATAGTAGAACATTTGGGACTCCAGATACGCTTTAACTTGAAATCAAGGAATGTAGAAATCAGGGTAAGGAGAATCTCAACCATTTTCGAATATGCTAGGTTTTCTTTTCCCTCAGAGATGAAAAGTTATGAATAGGCTTTTCTTAATGGGACTTACTCTGTTAAATGTTTTTCTTTCAGTTTTTTAATTTATCACATATTTTGAACTTAACCAAATGCTTTCAAAATCTGCATTTAACACAAATATTATTTGAATTCCTAAGTCACTTCTGAGATTGTGCTACATACTGGCTATGTTTGTGTATGTCTTTCATAGTGTTATGTGTTGAATTGAGGGAAGGCCAAGTAAATAAATTGTCTTAGAAGTATATAAGTAATGAATATACTTGAACATAAAGTTAAGTGCTGTTTTACAAGAACTATGTACAAAAAGCATCAGGGATACATTGGGAGAAATGCATCCTTAGGCATTGTGTGAATGTCATGGAGTGCACTTAACACAAACCTAGATGGCATATATAAATTTATTTACATACTTTTTTTTTCACATGGAAAACAAACATCCCAGCACCATTACTGAAGATCAGTCATTTCTCCTATTTGATTTGAAATGCCAGTATCTGATACCATACATCAAGTTTCTGGATATGCTGCATCATTATAATCTTATGAGATCACCATGACCTATGTGGTGGGTCTTTAACTGAAACATTGTTATGCAGTGTATAATTGTTTTGTTTTGTTTTGTTTGAGACAAAGCCTCAAGCTTTCCCCCTGGGTAGAGTGCTATGGCATCACAGCTCACAGCAACTTCCAACTCCTGGGCTCAAGCAAGTGTCCTGCCTCAGCCTCCCAAGTAGCTGGGACCACAGGCGTCCGCCACAACGCCCGACTATTTTTTGGTTGCAGCCTTCGTTATTGTTTTGGTGAGCCCAGGCTGAATTCAAACCCGCCACCTTCGGTGTATGTGGCTGGTGCCTTAGCCACTTGAGCTACAGGTGCTGAGCCTGTATAATTGTTTTAGTGGTACTCTTTTTGGGAAAAAAAATGTGGATTATATACGTATGTACATACATACATAAATATTTATTCCATAGCATCTGACCAGAAATTAGACGTTGTATTTTTCTTTTTAGTGATTTTTTTATACCATCATCAGGAAAGGTATAAACTTACTTCTGTTAATGCAGTATAACAGAGAAAAATATAATTGAACAAAGGGAGGCACTATAAGTAGTTGTTAAAGTTAAAATCTCAGAATGACAGCACAGCTCCCCAGTGCCGCCATTGCCACACTCATTCAGGTGTTCATGGTTTCATGCCAAGGCTTCTTGTTTCCATGTAGGTTTCCCTTGATTCATTGTTTTATCTTTCCTTTATTTGCTCTGTCCTCTCATGGAAGTGCCAGATTAATTTTCTCAGACTACGGATCTTTTGTTGTGATATCCTGGTGTCTTTGATATTTCTAAAGGATAAAAGTTAAGTTTTTGGCTGAACCTTTCTTCTTTCAGGTAGTAGACCCAGGTCCAGTTTTGTCTTCCTTCATTTCTATATGTCAGCATCTTTTGGTGGCTGTATCCCTTCCTTCTATTCCCTTTCTTGTCTTCTTTCTGTTCTAGTCATCTTTTAGGATCTAGCTCAAGTTCTTTCTTCTTTATAATATGTACATTTTTTCCAGTGCTTTTTTCAATGCCTAAACTTTCATTGTGGTTAGTTAGCTGTCTTATTTATTCAGGATCATCAATTTGGATGCCACAAACATTTGTTGGTACTACTGTATACCAGACACATAGTGGTACATTGACATGCGCTGCATCATTTGGTTGTTGGGACAGTATATCCCCTCTTACAGTTAAGAGGAAACTGAGGGTCAAAGAAGCTACGTATCTTGGCCAGAGTCGTCAGGCTAATAAGAGAGTCTTTCTGCTAGTAGGGGACACTTGGGATCTTCTACTCCTTATTTTACAGATGAGAAAACTTAAGACCTAGAGTATAGGACTTACCCAAGGTTACGTGTAGTATTGGAACTGGAGTCTACTTTTAAATGTGAAAGTCTGGGGGACTTTACCATTACATAATCCTGTATAGTTTTAATTCTGTTGAATATGTAGTCTCCTCAACCAGATTGTGAATCTGTGTGGGAAAGTGGAGATGACAGTTTTGGAATGAAACCTATGTTTAAATTTTTTTCATGTTTTAGTACTTTAGTTTCTTCACATATGAAAGAAAGTATTCATATCACTTACCTACCATTCAAGGTTGTCATGAAAATTAGTGCTATGCTATGTAAAGCATGTTAATTATAGTGATAGACATTTTATGAGTAGCAGCTATTTTTACAGTTAACAAATTTTTTTGAGGTCAGGATCCCTGGTTAAACCATTCTTGTATCAGTCATCAGATCGATGACTCCAGTCCTATTATTTGCATACCTGGTATTGAAGGGAAGTATGGTCGATTTGGGAAACATGGGCATATAGATGATAATTCAAGTTAGAAGATTAAGTCAGAATTCCTAGGGAAGATTACCTTGAGGGAGAAGAGAAAAGCACCAGGTTGGGCAATGAAGGGATGGACAGAGAATGGATATTCTTCAGAGTATGCACAATTGGACCGTGTTAGAAACATCTTTCTCTTAGCTCTGGAGTCTGATCAGTAAAACAGCATAGTCATTTCACAATCTTGAGTTGCAACTGCCCAGCTCTGAAGCTGAAAGGTTTTGTTTTGTAATCAACTCAGGACTTAATCTCACCCACATCTGAGGCATACAGAATATATTGGAGAGGAGAAGTGGTGAAGGAAATTACTATAATGGGAAAGGTCATTCCTGGTATTTTGTTAGAACATTTTCTCTTTTCTTCCCAGCTGTAATTTTTACCTCTCCACCCTTTTTTAAAACAGACTTGTAAAGAAACTAAGGATGTTAGTGCTCTGACAAAAGCAACTGATTTTGTGAAAGCCTTTATCCTTGGGTTTCAGGTGGAGGTAAGTGATTTCATGACATCTTAAATGGGGACTTGGAAAATATTCAGCATGGAACTTTCAGTGGATTGAGCATTTTTTAAAAATCTGAACTTTTTAGCTCTGGAGCTTATGAGTTTCACTGATTCTCAGATGTCTAAGAAGGTCTTCACAGTGTTCATTTTCACGTTACAGGATGCACTTGCCCTCATCAGGTTGGATGATCTGTTCCTGGAATCTTTTGAAATTACAGATGGTAAGTATGTGGTAGTCTTTTCCTGCGAAATACCTTTTTTTTTTTTTGTATTGCTAGCTTTGTATTCTGTTGTGACTCTCAGTTTTCTAATAGCATCACTTGAGTTGTATTATTAGCAGCTTTTTAAAAGATACATATCTTGTGTCATTTAGTAGGGCAGTTTAGTTGGTGGTTCAACCTTATGGAAGTGAGTGGTGTGTTGGGATGGCTTGCTTTCTGAGGTCTTGCTTTTCCTGTTTAGTTAAGCCTCTAAAGGGAGACCATCTGTCCAGAGCAATAGGAAGAATTGCTGGCAAAGGAGGAAAAACTAAATTCACCATAGAGAATGTGACACGGACTCGGATAGTTTTGGCTGATGTGTAAGTATATGACCTTGGTAAAATTATTGTCATAATTTGTATTTGGTGTTTTGTTTAATAAAAAAAGGTAATAACATTCATATTTTATGCATAATGTTGCCACTAAATCTTTGTTAGTACAGATGCTTGTTGGCTTATGATAGAGTCACATTACAGTAAACCTATCGTGAGTTGAAAATGCTGTAAATCTAAAGTGCATTTACTGTACCTCTTGAATAGCATAGCTTAGCCTAACCTACCTTCCGCCCTAGGTAGAGTGCTGTGGTATCATACTTCACAACAACCTAAAACTCTTGGGCTAAGTGATTCTCTGGGCTAAGTGATTCTCTTGCCTCAGCCTCCCAAGTAGCTGGGACTACAGGCACCCGCCACAATGCCCAGCTATTTTTTTAGAGATGGGGTTTCACTCTTGCTTGGGCTGGCCTCAAACCCATGAATGCAGGCAGTCCACCCTCCTCGGCATTCCAGAATGCTAGGATTACAAACACAAGCCACCACACCTGGCCCAGCCTAACCTACCTTAAACATGCTTACAACACTTATACTGGGCTACAGTTTGGCAGGATTATCCAACACAAAACTTATTTTCTGATAAAATATTGATGATAGGGCTGCACATGTGGCTCGAAAGGGTAGGGCACCGGCCCTATATGCCGGAGGTGGTGGGTTCAAACCCAGCCCCGGCAAAAAAAAAATATGTATATGTAGAATATATACTAAAAGTAAAAAACAGAATGGTCATATATGTACTTGAAGTAGAGCAAAGTAGATATTGGTTGCCTTTGTGCCATGGTAAAGTCAAAAAATTGTAAGTTGAACCACTTTAAGTTGGGAACTGTTTGTGTATGGTTCTGAGTGAATAGTCACATACTTTGACAGGAGATTAAGTTAATTAAGAAAATTCTGGAAATTATACCTTTTTCTCATTTAGCAATAAGGGAAATGTTTAGAAATGCTATTAAAAGAAATTATATTACAGATGAAGATTTAAGTAGTACCTCAGGTAAATCTAACAAATTAGAAGGGAGAACAAGCAATTGAGTGTTTCAGATGCTATTGTGAGACTTTTAAAAATATATATATATATACTTTATGTATCTATATTTTTTATATAGTTGTATATATACATATATATGTTAAGGCCTTCTATATATAAAAGAAAAGTGAATGTTGCACATTGGATAAAAGACTGGAGAGCATGGGGTAGGTGCAGTGGCTCACACCTATGATCCCAGCACTGTGGAAGGCTGAGATGAGAGGACCAGTTGGGGCCAGGAATTCAAGACCGGTCTGAGTCACATAGCGAGACCTTCTTCTCTACAAAAAATAGAAAAATTGGCCTGGTTTGGTGGCGTTTGCCTATAGTCCCTGCTACTGGGGAATCTGAGGCCAGAAGATCCCTTAGACCAGGAGTTTGAGGTTACTGCGAGCTGTGATGATTCTACTTGTAGTTCAGGTGACAGAGTGAGACCCTATCTCAAAAAAACCCCAAAAGCCCAACAAAAAGTAGAGAGCAGTTATATGTGAACATAAAATAAAGGTGCTGGAAGTAAAGGTGGGATTGTCCCTCTCTGAGGTTGAAACTGCTTCATATCCAAGTTGGTGATCTTGGAAAATACTATATACTGGCAGATGGCCATGTGGTGAAATTAGGAAAGAAAGCAGTTGACCAAGAGGAGGAGACATC